TCCCGACTGGTTTCGGCAAGAGTAGCCTGGCTGTTAGTACGTCATATGCTTCGCTGATCTGACTGGTTTATTTGGCCCGTCTATCACCAACATAGGCCAATCAGCTAACCAGTATTTTCTCCCCTTCCCAAAATTACTTCAACCGACGGTTTCCAGATGGATATGCGGAGCAAATCCATCTGGCGGAGTCAGGTTAGACTTCCACTGGTTCACCAAACACAGCCAGTTGGGTGTGCGCTCACAGAAAACCACAACCATCTGAAAGTTGCAGGATAAAATATATAAACATAAATGCATAAAACTGCACCAGTAAGCATCGAGATGATTTCAAAGTCAGTAGCTACGTCTACATGAACAAAATTTCCCCAATCCAATCGGATATTCAAAATCCCCATTTATATGAACACGAAATAAAATGATCCGATCATGATGTGTGTGTACATGTACCAAGCCTTTGATCAGAGTAAAGCATCCTCAGAACTGTCTCATTTTCCAGGAAAATGTATGCATATTGGAGATTATATGCTGATGAAGATTCTCAGTCATCCAGATCATAGTCATTCCATAAGAATTAAAAAAATATCCACTGGACTTGGTTTCCAAATTGGGCGAAACGTCTTCAAATCTTGGAAACCAAGTCCAGTGGATATTTTTTGAGTTTTAACGGAATTGGAGATTATACAACTCTAAAGATCTGAATGGGCGTGTACAGGGACAGTAATCAAAATGGTGATCAGCAAAACCACCTCTCTCTTTCAGGATGAAATTTCTTTACGTTCGGACCGAATTGAATTAGAATATTCAGCCTGACATGTTTACATTAAACATTTTTGATCTGATCAGCCCTTTATTGCGATTATTTATATAAACATAGCTAATGACTGGATGCTATCAGCTCGCTTTCCTTGGATTGAAAACTTTGAACTAATCCAACTAGATGATCTGACTTGATTCAGTGCCTTGAGATGACATGTGTTGTAAATTGGTGCAATATAAACTAAACCAAATTCTATTTTACCCATTAGCTAATTCAAAAAAAACCAGAATGCATCAAAAGCTAGTATCTTCTTTACCTGCCAACCAAAGTATACATGTGTCTTTTTAATGTGCAATTACTATTTGATACCTGTTTCTCAATATCCGACACCCAGTGTAAATATAAATATCCTTCTACATAAATACCTGTGTAAACGCCATGTGCAATAACCATGTATAAGGATCCTATCATATGTGGATACACTAATTAGGGGTGGAACGGTTCACAAAATCCACGGTTCGGTGCACGGTTTCTTGGTCACTGTTTTCGGTTCGGTATAAGTTGATTGTTACATCGAAATCCCATAAAAATTAATGAAAAAATCCCCAAAAAATAAATGAAATGTAATTATTTTTAATGATCCGCGGAAACCCTGGATCATTTCCTCATGTTTTGCTGCTTTGAATTTAATCATCTGGCGCATGCTCTCTACGATCTCCAAGGAACTCAGAGCGGAGCGGACGGGAGCCACAGTGGAGACTGTAGGCTTTGCTTTTTTGCAGGCGGTCTGGAGCGGAGTGCTGACGGAGTATGTGGGATTTCGGGGTTATCATGACATGTTGGTCGTGTTGCTGTTAGCATAAACAAAACGTGTTGCACAATGCTTGCACACTGTTGCACTTTTATCCACCACTTTCTTTCCACCGTCATCGTAGGTCACTCTAAATGCAAAGCGGTCCCATACAGCAGACCTATAAAGTGCTGCTGGCGCGTCTTCCAACTCCTGTTCTTTCCCACTCGCCATACCCACACAATTCTCCACAACTGATTTTTTTCTGCTACACCCGGCTACGCTGCTTCGCTTCTTCTTCTTGTTTACTACTGGCGGTTGGCTTTGGTCGCAGTACCGCCACCTTCTGCTCTGGAGAGAAAAAGGAGCAGCGCATGAACCGAACACAACACACGCGAACCGAACCAAGACAGTTGAACCGAACGGTTCCGACGGTTTTCATAAACCGCTCCATCCCTATACACTATATATACTATATATATATATATATATATATATATATATATATCCCATACACCTTTTTCTTCCTTTGGCAAATTCTTCTCCTTTGACTATTTGAGCTGATGTAACGAGTAAATTTCTCCACTGTGAGATTGATGAAGTCAATCAATCAATCGATCAACTGACTCAGACTTGGGGGGATAGCAGTATCCACTGTACTAATAGTGAGAAGTAGCCAGAGCGTCTCTACTCTGTTAATGGGGGATCCGTAAAGCTTTTCTATTAAGAGGTGAAGTTGCTAATGGGAATACTGCTCTGTTTCAATGATCGGTCTAGCACTAATCAGGTCTGGGTGATGCCTGCCTGCTGTGGTATCAACAGTGTTGGGCACGTTACTTTGAAAAAGTAATTAGTTATAGTTACTAGTTACTTCTCCCAAAAAGTAACTGAGTTACTAACTGAGTTACTCCACAATAAAAGTAACTAGTTACTAGTAAAAGTAACTATTGCGTTACTTTTGCGTTTCTCGCCCCCGTAACCCTCACCACCCGGCCCCCACCTTCTCGCCGTGTGTTTCCAAAGCCAGCTGAATAGAGCGGACGACAAAGACAAGAACCTGCAGAGAGTTTAGCATTTATTGCAACTCAACGTAAATGACATCAGGGGGAACACGGTGTGAAGTTTTATAACAGGACACTCAGATCTGGTGAAATTAATAACTGGGGATGTCTAATTCTGAAATCCTGTGTGTTTGGGTTGTTATAGATACTGCAACATCTATCTATCTATCCATCTATCTATCTAGATGTATACTCTGTGTGTGACATAAAATATGGATCTCCATCCCTGCCACAAAGGCCATCAAATAATGCTTAAAATAAAAAATACAGTAGGTTGAGAAGGCAGAGCATCCATCCATCCATCCATCCATCCATCCATCCATCCAGATTTCTCCCTTTCTCCATACAGGCTATCATTTCTGGCTGTTGTCAGGTTTCTGGCTGTTGTCAGGTTAATCATTTGATCGTTCACGCTCTCCATAGTTCTCCTGTGGCGTGAGCACAGGGCGACTGTTGCGCGCCTTTAGCGAGCATGCGCGTTTTCTGTCGCTTGCGCGGTGACTCGTGCCGCCTGTATGGAAACCGTCTGTGATGGGGAAACGCAGCTCGACGTAACACCGGTATTTCCATCAGGAAAACGCTGTTTTGCTGCTGGATCCTCCTCACTCTCCATCTCTCTGTGTGTGCTGTACGTTAACACCCACCAGCAGAAACACCCACCTATTCAACTGACAGACGGAATCTCACTATACATCAGCCATTCTCATCCACCCCTCTCTCATGACAAGGCGCGCACCTCTGGATGACCTAAAAAAATCTGGGTATCAATTCATCATTGATGCTTTTCTAATTGGACCATAATCATTTAGATCTGTTCCTTGATAAATGAAACCAAAGTTTAGTAACTGCTCATTCATTTGACCCAATTCTGACATTGCATAAAGCAGAAGGACGGTGTTTGGGGCGAGGAGACGAACCAGAGACAGCAGCTTGTTGATGGCCAAGGCTCTCTGCTGAGGCTCCAGGTGAGGCATGTCGTTCTGGATCACCTGGTCCGTGATTCCCTGGGGAAACTGCTGACACAGCTCTTTGATCCTGAAACACATACAAACACAGCAACAGCTTGAAGGAAGGTACCCGGGCATTTAACCAACCAGAACCAATATTGAACCCGGACTTCAACCTGCTCTGGGTCCCCGGAGCACACAGAAACATCCTGACTGAGAAATTAAAAGGAATGTTAGAATAAATATCATTGAAGATGTGTGAGTTTATTACACCTAGACAGTTCCTCTGTCTGGATATACAGTTATAATCATTCTGTACGTGGGAAAGGAATGGAAATGGAATGAGAGCGATGTCCTTCAGCTAAGAACGAAGCGTAATATTTAAATAAGGCTGGAGCCATGGCTGTCTAATCATCTGCTAAAGTCTATGATGTAAAGTAAGATGATGTGGCAGACTGGAGATGTATAAAATGTATTTTTAACTATTAATCAGGGCCAATTCCTGTCAGGTGAGCCCAGATGTGAGCAGCTGCCTTCTGTAACCCTGCCTTCTCTGATCTGAGTAAGATTACAAATCAGAATCTGTTGTCATATCTCCTGCTTATTTAATATAAGTTATGTCTTATTTAAAGAGTTTGTCCTGAGTGATCTCTTTTCAGTGAAAAGAACCAGAGAGAGAGTTTCAAGGTGCAGATATACGGCCAATCTTAAACAGGAATAAAAAAATAAAAAAACAGAACTTCTTGTTTCTGAAGATAAAAACTGCCTTTATTTTTTCTCCTAGTTCAGAAACATGGAACCCATGTTTAGAACTTTACTCTCTGTTCCTTTTAGAAAAAGTTCTGTTAGCTGTTACCGAACCGAACCTCCTCCAACCTCTTAATTATACCTGATAGGGATTCCCTGTTGAACCGGAACCTGATTACCTAAAGATACGTTATATTTTTATAACCATGTGGATTATAACGGGTCGGTATTTCCAGAATTAATGAGCATTTATAGAACAAATTAAAGCCGAACTCTTGGCCCTACCGGTCAAGGTCTAAATCGAAGCATCAGAAATTGTGACCGAACTTAACTAAAAACTCACATAATTCAACAAGAGTTCGGTTACTGAGCGCTTTTCCTCACCTGTTCTCTATCTCCGCAGGTTCTGAAAGGTTCGTCTCCTTCTTCACCTTTACCTCTGCCATTTTGACCCTATTCTGTGTTTCTGTCTGTTAACCATCCAGGTTAAACGTGATGTGATGAACTAAATAAGACTGACGGGGTCCTTAGCGCAGTGTCTGTGATCGTTAGGTGTTCTGTATGATGCCTGATCAAAATGACTCGAGGTCCACAACTGGTCTACCTCTTTTTAAACCCGTTAGTTCAGCTTTGAAATCCTATATTTTTATTTTTATTAAAGCATTTATCGTGATTTGTATCGTTTTAAAGGAGTAAAGGCACAGGGATATACATTGTGATCACTTCCTGTTGTCAAAATGGGAAAGTTTCCCTGTTGCCATGGTGACCTATTTCAAACGCAGCAGCTGTGCTTCAGCAAGCGAGAGAGAACAACTTTATTAGCAGGTGGATTATGCCCGGATTACAGCTTTCTGTTCCCTACATTAGTCGCTGGAAAGAAGAGGAAAAGGAAAAAGGGAAGCATCAAAAACAACCCGGAGGAAAAACCTGGATCAATCAGGATATGAACTGCGAAAGGAGCAGAACTTATTGAACGGTAACAAGAATGAATAAATTGTAAAATAAATGGTGGTTTGGGAAACTAAACTTTATGAATATACTACTGCTTAATGACTTCAGTCAAGTTTATTTACAGATTTATCTTTCTTTTTATTGTCAGCCTGTTGTTGCCATGGCAGCAGGGGCCATATTAGCTCCTCTTATCATCCCCATCACTCATCCTCTGACTCGAAAATCCAAGAACCACATCGATACCAAAACACCCATCTCCATTCAGTCAGGTACCAACTCCCTCCATCCATCCATCCATCCATCCATCCATCCATCCATCCATCCATCCATCCATCCATCATCCATCCATCCATCTATCATCCATCCATCATCCATCATCCATCCATCCATCCATCATCCATCCATCCATCCATCCATCCATCATCCATCCATCTATCATCCATCCATTATCCATCCATCCATCCATCCATCCATCCCTCCATCCATCCATCCATCCATCCAACATCCATCCCTCCATCCATCCATCCATCCAACATCCATCCATCCATCTATCATCCATCCATCATCCATCCATCCATCCATCATCCATCCATCATCCATCCATCCATCCATCATCCATCATCCATCATCCATCCATCAATCCATCCATTCATCCATCCGGGTGTATTTGATAGATTCTCTAGCCAATAGGTGTGTTTACTCAGATTCTGCAGGTGTGCTGATCTTCTTTACCTTGGATGGTTCTAAGCCAGTGGCAGGACAGCGTGGGTCAGATGGCAGCAGCAGGAAGTATACAGATCCCATCCTGCTTCCTGCCGGTCAGGTGACTGTCAGAGCCATGGCTGTTACAAGGTAAAAATAACCTGAGCAACCGTCAGGCAAATATGGGAAACAAAAGTTCATCACTCCCTGTTTACCTTTGCTGTGTGTGTAACCCATGTGTGGTGTAGGGATGGCAGAGAGAGCTCAGTGGTCACCAAGGGCTTTTCTGTGGATCAGGTGGAAACAGGCATCTCAGATGATAGCAGGGATGGTCTGCAGAAAAAAACGCAGGTAATAAAACAGAAACCAGCAGCTTTCCTGTCAGCCGATCTTCAAACATCACTCAGCTGTCTGGTGTGAGAAGTTTCACCTTCATTGTTTTGTTGTTTCAGCAACAGCCTATAGGAACTTTGGGTTCTATTGAGCACTTTGCTGGTTCTGCTCAAAGACCTGCAGGTATGTTCAGACAGATGAAATGTGCACCTGTAAACAACTGTAGATAAGGTCCCCCTACTAATTGTCAACATACTAGTGGATGGATGGATGGATGGATGGATGGATGGATGGATGGATGGATGGATGGATGGATGGATGGATGGATGGATGGATGGATGGATGGATGGATGGATGGATGGATGGATGGGTGGATGGATGGATGTGCTGATGATGACCCCAAGTAACTGTTAGAACACCAAGCTAGCTTCAGATGGTATCAAATGTGTCAAATGTGAGGTCTTGGGGCCGAATATGGCCCACAGCAGGAATTTATACGGCCCCCAAAATTCAATCTAACATATTATGTCAGGAAGTAGAGCCACGTGTTCGTTTAAAGTGAACAAATTGGTTAAAACTGCAAAAGTGAAATTATAACGAAGGAGCAGTGTGCTCCTTGTTAATGATGAAATATCGCAATGAAATTCACATTCATCTGCTGCAACCAGGCCTTTTAACACTTGTTACTGCCAAAGTGGCTCGGTGCAGCAATAGGTTTTACACATCTGATCAATAAAATTAGGCTAAAGTTATTAAACTGATGCAGCTTCTTGTCCTGTTGTCCATACTGTCCCTCCTACTCCTTCAGGTCCTTGCTTTCTAAACGGACGCTTTGGCTCCAGAGGCTCCAAGATCAAAGCTACTGCCCTCTTGATGGGTTCTTCCCGGCGCTCCCGATCTGCGGTAAATGAACACAGTGACGGATTCAGCTGTAGAAACTGTGAACTTCTGGTTTAAGCCTTTATTTCAGTATACTTCCTGTCTACCAGGATTCACGACATCAGGAGCAGCTGAGCAAAACGCAGTGGTCCGAAGTTCAGAGGGACAAAGACTTCCCGTGGTACAGACACAAAGACAGGGTCAACCCCACAGTTACTGACCTCAGTTGTCCAATGGGAGAACTCCTCCATCACTGCCTCTCATCCTTCAAATTATCCTCCACTCTATTTGTGGTCAGGTGTCCTCGGTGTCTCAGTGCCCGTCCTCCAGACCCGTTTGCCCGGTTCTGTCCTCAGTGTGGTTCTGTGATTCCGCCAGTAACTGCCCCCAAGCCGTCCCCCGCTGAGACGGGACAGGTGATGCAACCGTCCACCATACTGCTGAGGGAAGCTGCAGAATCTCTAAGTAAATGTGTGTGGTCTGGTGTCAGATGCTGCGGTGCGCTTCCTGCCAATCTCTGGTTCCCGTTAATACTCAGACCTGTTTGATCTGCGAGACGTCCACAGATAGATCCCAGCAGCCATTGCTCAGTCTGCAGGTACGTTACACTGACACTGGCCCTGATGGAGCCCAGATGTCAGATTAAAGGCGCTCTGCTAGACCTGAAGTCGATTAAAGTCAGGATTTTTCAGTTTTAAAGTCCTTCCTTTGGTTTCCAATTGACTGGACCTCTGTTGCGTTGTTGACTCAGGGTCATGCGTTGTGTCCTTCCTGTGGAAGTTGGAATCCAGCTAAGCTTTCCAGCTGTGTGACCTGTGAGAGTCGTCTGCAGCCGGTATGTCTGGACTTGCACCTATGTTTATACATGCTGCTTCCATGTTTCACCTGCAGCAGTTTCTCTTGTGGGGTTGCAGGTTAATCAAGGCCACAACAGCGCCCCCTCTCGCCAGGCGGCAGATGACAGGATGTTTTCCTGCTCCAGATGTGAGCGTTTAAACCGTGGTGACGCCAGATTCTGTGACTGGTGCGGCATAAAGGTGAACAAGCTGCTGCTTTATTTCCAGTCTCTCCTACTGATTCCCAGTTTGGCTTGTTTTTAGGGAAACCCTGTGGAATGTGTTCTCATGTGACTCGTATGTTTAGCTCCGTAACACCATCAGCTGTGTGTCGTGTTGGCAATGCGGAGCAAGCGCGCATCCCGGTGCTCTCTTCTGCACTTCCTGTGGCGTGTTCCTGGATCAACATTCCCCATCCAAACCATGCAATGACACTACACCAACTGCAGAGGTCACCACCTACAGCCAGGTACAAAGCACCACCTATTGCAACCCATATGCTGAATCCTTTTCCCCATTTTAACCAGCTGGACTGGCTGCAGGTTTCAGCTCTGACCCAAAATGATGCAGCCCAGAAGGCCATGCCCCCATCAATCTCCGCCCCCAGGTTGAAAGTTGGCCCTCCCTCTGTGGATCAGGCTACACAGACTGTAGGACTCTACTTCCCCTCATCCATGGCACTACAGAAGAAGGAACAGCAGAGGGCAATACAACATACTCAAGAGCTGGCGAACCGAGACCGCCGACCGCCGCTCACTGCCATTAGCCCTGGTCGAGGTAAAGTGGTAGTAATACTAGAAGGCATTGCTACTGACCGCACACCACCAGTATTGCTGCTACTACTGTCAGTACGGATGGTAGCCTGAGGAAAGGTATTACTGTGAAAACATGTTGCTAGCTAATTCTCCTGTGTCAGAAATGATGCAGTTCCTGCTATCAGGTTGGGGATCACAGGATGTTGATTTGAGCAGAATCTAGAGTCTAGGAGGAAACCAATCTCCTGGTAGTTTCAAATGTCTGCACAATGTGAATAAGTTTGGTAGAAGAGGTTCTATTCCTTCTCTGGGTTTAATACTCAGAAGGCATGGGGTCATTTTTCACTGTCATGCAGACGACAATCAGATTTATATGCCCACTAGAAAGGGAGTGAAATCACCTTTCTTTTATGTTGGAGATATCAAAACCTGGATGACAATAGAGTCCTGATACTATGAGAATGAAGTCATAATATTAGCAATATTAGGAGACTTTGACTTCACCATGACTTCAGAACAAATGAAACCTTGAGCACCAGGTCTCTGCTTCTGCCTAGGAAGGTGTGTCTGCGGGGTTAATAAGATATTCAAAGTGTTCTTTCCACCATCCAATTAATTTCTTGATTCAAGGTCAGCAGCTCCAACCACCCATTAAAAACGGTGTTAGCAAAGCCATGCTTCCCCATCTGGAATTGCTGGATGGTTTGTCACAGTCTCTTTGTGTCAGGATCAGGGGCATTGCCCACCAGAGGGCGCCGTGGATCCATGCCTGGGGAGTTTGAGCTCAGCATAGATAAGCTGTTTTCTCTCTGCTGATTAAAGCTGCAGTCTGTAACATTGAGGAGAGAGCAGACTTCGACTGAAAATTTGAAGAAAAACAGGTTTCACGCCACTCCCCCACCCTCTCTGCTTCCCTCATGCCCTACCTCCAAGCTCCACCCCTCTCACAGCATCTGCCGCATGCGACCAGAAGGGGGGGGGGGGGGGGGGGGGGGGCGTGTGTGAGCTGTGATTGACACTCCATCAGACGCTCCTCTGGCTGTGATTGGTTGTTTTGACTCGTCCCGAATTATTCTTTCCAGATTGAAATACAGGCAGTAGGCGGGACCAATTGAAGCAGTTTTTTTCACAGGTTACATATCACATGTACTGCTGTCTGGGCATGGGGACAGCTTTAAGGGAGCTCCCTATATAAGCTGAGTCTGAACTTCCCTCTGTGCTGGATCGTTGTGTTTCTTGTGCCACCATGCCTGTCTGATTCTGCAAACCTGTAAGTCTGTCAACCGGTTCCAATAAATTACTGGACTTTTAATCCTCCCTCTGTGTCTGTGCGTCTGACACTTTGAGGCTGGCCAATAGTATTTCTCCATTGTCTCTCCAAACTCCTAGCCTCGTGAGACCATCCTGATCTCACGAGCTTTCAAGATTTCACTCGCTAATCACTCTGGAGACTCTCCGTTAAAGAAAATTTGGAGCCGTTCACCAGACGAACGTCCAATCAGCGTTGGGTTTGAGGCGGGTTGAGGTGTGACGCAACGAGAAGCGCGACAGTTCAGTCTAAAGAACATGGCGGCTTCAGCCGATGAAACTAGCGTTAGCGTGGCTATCAAGCAAGTTTTATCGGAATTACAGAGTATTTCTTCACTGAAAGAAGAGCAAAACACTGTTCTGGAGGATTTTCTCAGAGGAAAAGATGTTTTTGCTCTTCTCCCGACTGGTTTCGGCAAGAGCAGCCTGGCTGTTAGTACGTCATATGCTTCGTTGATCTGATTGGTTTATTTGGCCCGTCTATCACCAACATAGGCCAATCAGCTAACCAGTATTTTCGCCCCTTCCCAAAATTACTTCAACCGAAGGTTTCCAGATGGATATGCAGAGCAAATTCATCTGGCGGAGTCAGGTTAGCGAACTCCCCCTTGGGAGACTTTTGGAGACTTCTACAGCTGCCCTGGCAGCAGCACGCTTGGCCTAATGATATCTGCTTTCTCCGTAATGAGTCTCATAAGCCAAGCAGGCTCAGTAAGACTCTTATCTTCAGCCTAATGGCATTTTTGCCCTTTTCTGGCTGATTCTCCTGTTGTGCAAGATTTTTTTGGGATCAGAGCCAAATTTCAGTCTCATCGTGCACCATGTAGTACAGGGTTTCTTAGACATGGTCCTCAGGGCCCAGTGTCCCTCATGTTTTAGGTGTTTCCCTGCCTCCACACAGCTGACCTGATTGAAAAGGTAATTAACAGGCTTTTGCAGCATTTGAGGGCTGTCGAGGAGAAAATGCAGTGATTTGAATCAGGTGTGCTTGAGTAGAGACATCTAAAACATGAAGGACAGGGTCAAGAACACCTGGTGTAATGTATAGGGGGTAATGAGGGGCAATTCCTGACCCCCTCCCGAACAGGAATTTTAGGTGGGTAGAAAATCATACGTTTGAAATTCAGTCAGCCCTTGTGAGGTGTTTGTGAGCGAATTCTGCTATTGAAACAGAGATACACAATCGCCTATGAGCCGATTTACCTGAACCTTGTGCACTGCACATGTGCAAACAAAGGAATTCTTCTTCCTCTACTGTCTACGTTTGGCTTCCAGATTGACAAGTCCGACCAGTGCCATCTCTTGGCTCTGAGTCTGACGTGTGTTTTTTTTTTGGACGAGCAGTGAGATTGAATCAGAGAAAAAGGCCCTACAGTGTGAGAACATTCATGTGAACTTTTAAACCCTATGGTTTCATCGTACAGTTGGAGCTGAGTACAAAGATTGGAAATATTGTATAATGTATGCTCGCCCTTACTGCCACTGTTCACCACAACAGGCAACACAGACATTACGGTCACAGCGGCAATTGGCTGCATCCCCAATAGAGGTAGAGTTCATGGTCCAGTCAGACTCCATGTCCCCAGCCTCACCCAGAATCTGGGAGAAGCTTTCCTGGAAGTTGGAGCTAAGAAACTACCTTTACGGGCTTGTATCCCTTTAGTCATGTACAAAAAAAACAAATTTAAGGTGAGATCGCCATAAGGTAGTGTAAAGCGGATTTTTCTGTACAAAACTAAAGGGATAAACACAAATCTGACGTCTTGCACTTGCGCATTGACTATGGGTATGCTGGTCTGATGGGGTATGCTGATCTGACAGAACACCTGGCAGTCAGTGCATGGTTGCTGGGGAAAGAAGGCTGCAGCTGGACGGTGTGCCCTAGAAACAGTCCTTCTAGGGCTAAATTAAAAGGGCTCTTTTAAAATCCACCTTAAAACTGATAAGGAGCATTCTTCACTTCAGACTTTGTCTACGTTATTTTAATTGTCTACCATTTTAATTTAAAAAAGCTTGTCTCTGCTGCTTCCTTCACTAAAGCAGTGGTCAATTCATGAAACATCTCCTAATCTTTAGACTTAACAATACAATATCAATGCGTACTACACACGTAGGTCCACTTTGACTTTGGACTCCCAAGTTTTGCCATTTTTGACGATTCTTTGTGAAACTTGCACCCAAGCCGATCTTTTTGGTCCTTTAGATGACCCCTCCTATATTGGCGACGTACAGATGGACATCAGGTGTGATAGCATAGCGCAGATGTACATTGTCACGCAAGCTACACTATATTGCCAAAAGTATTTGCTCACCTGCCTTGACTCACATATGAGCTTAAGTGACATCCCGTTCCTAATCCATAGGGTTCAATATGACGTCGGTCCACCCTTTGCAGCTAGAACAGCTTCAACTCTTCTGGGAAGGCTGTCCACAAGGTTTAGGAGTGTGTTTATGGGAATTTTTGACCATTCTTCCAGAAGCGCATTTGTGAGGTCGCACACTGATGTTGGACGAGAAGGCCTGGCTCTCAGTCTCCGCTCTAATTCATCCCAAAGGTGTTCTATCGGGTTGAGGTCAGGACTCTGTGCAGGCCAGTCAAGTTCATCCACACCAGACTCTGTCATCCATGTCTTTATGGACCTTGCTTTGTGCACTGGTGCACAGTCATGTTGGAAGAGGAAGGGGCCAGCTCCAAACTGTTCCCACAAAGTTGGGAGCATGGAATTGTCCAAAATGTCTTGGTATGCTGAAGCATTCAGAGTTCCTTTCCTTGGAACTAAGGGGCCAAGCCCAGCTCCTGAAAAACAACCCCACACCATAATCCCCCCTTCACCAAACTTTACACTTGGCACAATGCAGTCAGACAAGTACCGTTCTCCTGGCAACCGCCAAACCCAGACCCGTCCATCAGATTGCCAGATGGAGAAGCGCGATTCGTCACTCCAGAGAACGCGTCTCCACTGCTCTAGAGTCCAGTGGCGGCGTGCTTTACACCACCGCATCCGACGCTTTGCATTGCACTTGGTGATGTATGGCTTGGATGCAGCTGCTCGACCATGGAAACCCATTCCATGAAGCTCTCTGCGCACTGTTCTTGAGCTAATCTGAAGGCCACATGAAGTTTGGAGGTCTGTAGTGATTGACTCTGCAGAAAGTTGGCGACCTCTTCGCACTATGCGCTTCAGCATCCGCTGACCCCGCTCCGTCAGTTTAGGTGGCCTACCACTTCGTGGCTGAGTTGCTGTCGTTCCCAAACACTTCCATTTTCTTATAATACAGCTGACAGTTGACTGTGGAATATTTAGGAGCGAGGAAATTTCACGACTGGATTTGTTGCACAGGTGGCATCCTATCACAGTTCCACGCTGGAATTCACTGAGCTCCTGAGAGCGACCCATTCTTTCACAAATGTTTGTAAAAACAGTCTGCATGCCTAGGTGCTTGAATTTATACACCTGTGGCCATGGAAGTGATTGGAACACCTGATTCCAATAATTTGGATGGGTGAGCAAATACTTTTGGCAATATAGTGTATCTCTAAAATGATTATACATGCATAGACACCCTCTAGTGTCTTGGGCCCCAAGCTGCTGGTTAGTTTCCTCATGCCTGGCTGATTCTGCTTTCACCCTGGATTAGAACCGCTCAAACAGCCATGGTGTGATGGTGGTGATTAATCAGAACTTTGGGGTCGGTTCTTGGGACAAGGATCCATAAACTGAAACCTGTTTTTGTTTTTTATGGTGAAACATTCTCAGTGGTTCTGAATTGCTGCTGATGTTCAGGTTACTGGAGGAAGCAGTTGGACCATGTGTGTGCTCACCTGAGAAGTTACACCCAGAACCATTCCTCCTTCAGGACTCTGCTGGCAGAACCACGTCTGGGACAGGTAAGCTCTTCACCTTGAGTTGAGGGACGAACATCACCTGAGCAGGTGTCTTCCAGCTGTTTGTGTTACTTTTCTTGTTCAGATGATCTCAGCTGTGATTCAGGAGGATCAGCAGGAAGTCATTCTGACCTTAAGCTTTTCCTGTGTTGCTCCGGAGCAACAGCAGGTGAGTTTCTGACAGGAAGAAACCTGAGGGTGGATGGACATTTAAATGAGCAGAACTGTTGTCGGGTCTCAGGTTGGACTTCATGGAAACATTGACGGTCCAGTCCAGGGAGGGTCTGGGATACCGAGTCAGGCCCAGACTCTGAGCCACGTCACGGAGCAATCTACAGTCAGAACCAGTCTAGGTAAGAACCACAGGTTCTGACTCTACTATTCTTAGTTTCCCTCTGTATCACTTGGTGTTTTTAAGGAGGAGCTGAACCGCTTTTATTCTCTGCTTAATGAGCTAAAATAAAAAAAAAATAAAAAAAAGTAATTTGAACAATGACTCCTGGTGGCCAAAGATAAAACTGATAAAGTTGAAATTCTGCATCTGCATCATAAATTTATCTCAAAACCTTTTTTATTGTGAAGTTTATTAATGTTCAATTTCTGAAACTGAGTTTCAGAAAATCCTTTTTTTTTTTTTTTGCTATCAATAATATTGGAACAAATTTCTCTCCATACAGGAAGTCGTCTGCTGTCAGGTCTTAGAAGACCCAATCGAAACCTGAAACCAGGACCATCGGTAAGAACCCTGTCTGAACTGGAAGCTGCCATCTGAAATCCAAAGTGTTCTATGATTGGTTGATTGGCTGCAGGTGACTGACTGTCAGCTGCTGAAGGAACTGGGTCCAGATAGAGGCCGGATCGCAACCATCCAGCACCTTCTGGATCAGGTAGACCCCCATGTCTAGTCAGGATCACACAGCATCTCCTGACCCAGTCTAACCAGGTCTTTGTTTGTCCACCAGGGGGCGGACCCATCCTGCTGTGGGAGTGACAGCCGCCACGCCTTGGCGGTCGCCGTGGTGAACAGTCACTACGACGTGCTTCCTGTTTTGATTCAGCGAGGAGCCGACGTTGACCAACAGTCTGGACCGTAAGAAAAACTTAGATAACCTGATGCAGGTAATGTGGGCGGAGCCACACTGTGACACCCAGGTGTTAGCAGGCAGGTGTGAGTCGCTTCCTTTGAAATGCAGGCGGAGCCAGCTGTCGGAGTACAGATGTGGATCTACTAGATTATAGAACCTGATTTAAGAGGGCTGGAGTCCAGGTGACCACACCCCTTACCTGGCCCCGCCCCCACTGCATTGGTTCAGGTCATTTTATTGAACATGTTCTCCTCCTCAGGATGAGGAACACTGCTCTGCATGAAGCTGCAGCTATGGGCTCTGAGGGGCTGCAGAGCGCCAAGCTCCTGCTGAGGTAACTCACCTGGACCTGAACACCTGCAGCTGAAGCTCCTCCCACCTCATGGTGTTGTCACTGTGTGTCCGCTTGTAGGTGCAAGGCGAGCGTGAGAAGGAGGAACGCTGCTGGTCAGACAGCATACGACATGGCGGTGACCTCCGGCTGCGACGACATGATGTCCCTGCTGGCGGCTCAGACAGGACTGGATTTACTGGGAAGGTCCCATCAGAACCTGGACATCATCTGAGTGATATATGTGACCAAAACCAGTCAGCAGCTCTGAAACGTTTCTGACTGCAGCTCCAGGCCGTTCTGTTTCCATCCGACTCCCAAGTTCCTCTAAAACATGTCATTTTTTACACTTATATTGAGATAAAGTGGGGTTTTCTTACACAGAACATTTATTAATAAAAAATTCGGTTTCTAAGGATTAAAATCTTCCATCGCCATCCTGTTTTCTTATAAAATTCTTAATCTATTTTCCATTTTTTTGTCCATTTGTCATTCCTTTAATCTGAACCTGTGTTCTCCACTATTACTGACCATTGTTCCTTTGGTGTAAAAGTGGTTCCAAAAGGGCCGCATGGCTGCAGGTTTTCTTTCCAACCAAGCAATTGCACCAAACTCCAGTCATCTCATTAAGTGAGTCCAATCTGAACATGATGACTTGATGATGTCTGGTGCGCTATTGTTTGGTTGGAAAGAAAACCTGCAGCGACACAGCCCTTTCTGGAACCAGTGGAACATCCCTGCTTTGGTGGAACCCATTCTTTCCTCCAGTTTCTTGTTATCTCTATTAACAATGTTTTAACCAAATGATGATTATTCAGAGAATTTACAAAAGTACAGCACTTCAGATCTCACTGGAACATTGTATTCTAAGACATAACATATGACCTCACAGAAGTTTCCATAAAACACCAGTATTTTTGGACATTTCAAGAAGATATATAACTGGTCCACATCGACTGCTCCACATCCTCTCCAACATTTCTAATGACTTTTTAATTGTTTGCTTCTAGTCTTACATTCTTCCAGGCAAAATCCCTTCATGCCCATTAGCTGGTAATTGACTGATGTACTCTCCACATGACCCACCATCCGTCATCATCAATATATATGTTCTACCCTTTTTCCCTTTTCTGTTATACATGGATAGTTGTGTCTTTATTCATGTATCCAAAGGCATCATACAGCACTGAGACCCTGTTCCCATAAGCCTTGGCTATAATGTCTTAATTCTTCTTTACTTGCTGCACGGTCGGGAGTATAAGAGTCTATAAAAGTCCAGAAAGATATTTTCAATCATTAAGTTCCTCTAAAATTTAAAGACTGGAAGGCATCGTAATCTTCTGCACCAACCTTCACTTTGGGATGAATGTGTTCAAGGTTCTGTGATGAACATTAGATTTCAGTCAAAAGTTCTGCAGAACTTCTCTGTAAATCTAAATTTATGAAACTTTTATCAGAGATCCAAGGATTGATCAGATTGTTCTGGCTCTGTGGAGGCAGCCCTGATGGAGCACTGCCAGGAGGAAGAGGTTACTGAGTGATACAGAGTCACTGGTTGCCATGGTGATCTTGGGAGACAGAGGGAGTCTGGAAGATTTCAACCCTCCAATAATAACCTTGTGTAAAGATATGAGCAAACCATGGAAAGCCATTTGGTTTTGATGAGTCCTGTGAAGGAGATCCAGCAGGTCAGAGAGAATCTTCAGGGGGAATATTGCTCAGTCTGCTGAGAGCTGGAGATCTAGCTCCATTTTGCCTCCACATCAAGTGAGAAACAATGGATCAAAAAGATAACTGGGTCTGAAAAAGTCCACCTTTGTGTGATACTTTTGCAGTGATGGTTGAATTGTAAAGTGCCCTTAGATTACATGAGTTTTATATTGGCGCTATATAAATAAACTGAATTGAATTGGTTCTGATGGGAAGGTTGGCTGAGCTATGGAGGTCCAAACAGCACCAGACCGCCTGTACTGAGATCAGCTGTTTGGGGCCATTTGTCTCCAAACGATTCTTGGGATTTCTCTTTTCCTTTGCTGTAAAAGAAGCCAAAAGCATCGACGTATTTAAGCTTTGAAAACATTTTTCCTGAGTCAGGAAGTTCAGTGAATTAAACTTAACAATAAAAACGGTTCTAAGAGCATCAGAGGTTCAGACTCCAGGAATCCTCTCTCACTTCTCCTTCACATCACATCATAATGTCTCTAAGGAAAACTCTAAAGGAATAATCAATGTCTTAAGTTTTTTTATTTTAAACACGTCAGCATTTCAAAACTACTTTAACCTTAAAGATTAAGATCAAATATCTGGGAGTAAACACTTTTACAGATCAGCCTGCTTATCAGGATCAGAAATACTTTAAGTAACTTTTGTTACACGTACCAGTTACATTTATAGAAATAAAACAACAAAATCAGACAAATTATATTTTCATTTGCCATTTTTAGTATTTCAAAACAATGTTTTTAAGACCTAATACCCCAGCACAACACTGAGCGATAAGTTTTGAAACCTCTTTCAACATCAAAGCTGCCGAACCGGAAGAAGCTGGTGTATTTTAGAAAGGGAATTAGCGCCATCTGCTGGTCAAACTTCAGAATACAAGCTAGTTCTACATTAGCTAGTTGCAGATTTAAAGTTTATGACAGGAAAAGATACAGAAATAACTAATGATTAAAACAAAGCTGCGTGTATTGTTTTTATTAAAGTGACCTTTTTAATTAACTTATTTAGGGACTAACAAGTCTTTGTTAGCATCTCAATTAATTTCACCTTTTGCCAACAGCTCAGTAGCTTCCTATATGTCTCCTCTGGAGTTTAGATGTTCAGTCTGTAAAAGTAGGTTCACCAAAGCTGTTTTCAAGGAAGCATTTATTTATCTAATCGGTTTTGGTGCAGCTTTGAGGTAATTTAAGGAACTGAGGACTGAAACCCTTAAAAAAAATATTGGAGCTAAATTCATCCAATGTAGCTAAGTTTGACTGAAAATGTCCAATAAAGAAAATGTTAGTCCATCTTTAAGAGGAACAACTGGAACCAGAAACACAGAGAAAAGCAGCGTTTTATTCAGAACAGGACAGAAGTCAAAGCAGAGCTCCCTGCAGCACCGTGGCGCCACCTTTTAGCGCCTCAGTCGCAGGAAGAAGGCGTGCCGACACTGGCCGCTGTCCACGGGGTAATATTTGTCATAGAAGTCCAGGATGTACTCCTCGGCTTTGAAGCCAAACTTCTGGTAGAGCAGCATGGCGGGGTTACTGGCCGACACGTGCAGCGTCACGTCTTTCCCCATGCAAGTCTGGAAGACAGAAGCAGATGTTTTCACACTTGTTCAGAGCTCCGCCCCCCCCAGACCCGTAACTCTGACAGGACTCACCTGGATTAAATGGTAGATCATGAAGGTCCCGATCCCAGCTTTCCTCCACTCAGGATGGACCAGCAGGAAAGAGATGTACGCCTCGTTGTATTTGACGTCTGGCACCATGAACCCAAAGCCAACCACAACCTTCTTGTAGAGCACCACCACGCTGAAGTCTGGGTACTGGAGGCACTCGGACAGGTCCACACCTGGAGGAACACGGCTGAGGTCAGACTCGGGGACGAGAGGGGAGGCTGCAGAGGGAGGCTGCGGGGCTTACCTGGCCAGAAGCTGTCATGGCACATGGCGTTGACGGATGGGATGTGGTTGGGACGGACGTAGCAGTAGTCGATGGGAGCGTCGGGTTCTGGGATCCAGTCTGGATCCTTCCTGTGAGGATATGCTCTAATCTCAGCCAGGAGGCGGAGCTTTAGAGGTTTCGACTCGAAATCCCTCCTGAGGAAGTAGAACAAACACACAACAGGTGAGACGACCGTCACTCAGCGCCTCAGGTCCACTTCTGCGACTCGGACCTGATGAACGGTTTCAGGATCCGGGCCGTGTACGGACTCTTGATGTTCTGCTCCAAACTGCCCTCAGCTCCCATCAGGCGATGCCAAAAGGACACGGAGCGCTGCTGGACGCCTCGTCTACTCGACACGTTTGTCTGCAGGAACAGAGACGGAACAGATCAGAGGAATCCAGAGAACCTCTGCGTTGAAACAACCAGGAGGTTCTGGTTCCCGCTACCTGGAAACGATCCAGAATCCGCTCCTCCTGGCTGCTGGTGCAGTAAGTCCCTTTAACTCCACCCCCGACTCGTGAGTCCACCTCCTGAGTGCCGTAGATCCCCCCCACTAGGCTCAGGGTGGCACTGACTGCCCGGTCGATGTCAAACAGAGGCAGTCCTCTCTGCCGTTTGGCGTGGCGGATGAGCAGCTTCCTGTAGAGTCGTTTGGCCTGCGGCGTGACGGCCAGTGCCAGCTGGCAGGCATCCATCCGCCGCAGCAGCAGCCGCTCCTCATATAAGCTCAGGGGTGAGAAGCGGGGACCTTCTGGGGCGGCGACAGCATCAGATTTCTCAGGAACAGTCGTTCTTCGCCGCTCCAGTACCCCGCCTCCTCCTCCTCCACGGGAGGAAGAGGGCGGAGCCTCGCAGTCTGCAGACTCCTCACAGCGGCCCTCTTGGTCGTGGCCTTCGTCTTCCTCGCTATCAGCTTCCCGTTTGATGAAAGTCTGCGGTGGGCGGAGCTTCTTCCGGCTGATGTTGACGTTTGGCGGAGGGACGTACTCCATTCCCGGGTCAATCATCCCCTCCGTCTCCATCTCCTCATCATCTGCAGGTGGAGCCAGTGAACAGTGACATCAGCATTTTCTCGCGGCAGGACAACAGCCAGCCGAGACGGATGAGGACTCACCGTGGAACAGCGCCTGAGGGGGCATGGCGTCTGGGATGAGGTCAGCCTCAGACAGCAGGCTGGGCGTGGCCGAGTGGGAGGCAGGGGTTCCCGGACCAGAGAAGTCAGGCGACGGCGAAGGGGAGGGGCTGGTGAGAGGTGTACGGTCCGAGGAGCTGAGCGACGAGAAGTCGATGACCTCGCCTCTCTCCAGGACCAGATCGGGGCGCCGTCCGCCCCGACAGACTCCCATCTTGACGGGTGTGGAGGAGGAGCTGCGGTCCGTGTAGCTGCCCGCTGCCTCCTTCTGAGCTCGCCGTATGTCTTTGGCCTCCTGTGTGCGGGAGCGCTTCTCTTTCAGCTGCATGGCGCTCTCCACGGGGTTCCTGGCTCCGCGCTTCCTCAGGCCTTCCACCGTGATGATGGGATCCATGGGCGGCCTGGAGGCTGCTGGCCAAACGCAACAGGTCAGAGGAGGGCAGAGCCGACTCACCCGCACGCTGCCGCTTCACAGAGCCTCACCTCTGATCTTCGTGCTGGTCTTGTCTCCATCCGGTCTCAGCGTGGGAGGCCTGTTCTGGACCAGTTTCCACCAGCCGGGTTCTCCGAACTCCTGCGCTCCGGAGCGGAAGAAGGTGGGGCTTCCGACTGACAGGCAGCCGGCGACCGTGCTCCACCATGTGGACGTCTTCTTCCTGCGAATGGCCGATAAAATTATCATCCTCAGTGCCTCATACAGAACATGAACAGGAGCCGTGTGCTTTAGCGCCCACTGGTGGCCAACGGATCAGAAGCGCTTCACCTGTTTCCCAGCAGAAAGTTCCAATGTCGACCGATGAAGGAGCAGATGTCCTCCTTCCACCTGAAGTATCCCTGCCGCCCCGTCCCCTCCAGAGACAGGTTGTACATGGCCAGCATCACCACCTGCACAGAGAAGACTGATTTCTACCTGCGGGACAGCAGGCCACGGACCAAAGGGGGCGGGGTCTTACCTGCTGCCAGGTGAGCCTCATCCTCTCAAAGCTCTCCTTCCCGTCCTCTGAGCAGCTGAAGCACAGAAATTTAAAGAAGTTGTCTCCTTTCAGGTAACTGGGCTGCTCACCGCGGAGCTGAGCTGAAACCGGCAGAGAACGGGGTCAGAACCAGGCGAGAACGCAGAGAGGGAACGACCCCATGCCACGCTCCGATTGGCTCACCTGCAGGAATCCACTTGTGACAGTGGTCACAGTAGAAGGACATGTCCTCGCAGGCCCATCCTCCGTCCGTCTCTTCGCCCACGTCGCTCGTCAGGGAGTCTCCGCTCTGGTCATGGGATAGGTCCACAGAACCCTGGTCCTCCGACTCCACGATCAGCAGCGTCTCCCCCTCCACCTCTCCCTCCTCCAGGCCCTCTGAGGCCGACGTGCCCGCCGCCTCGTCCTCGGCCGCCGCCAGCTGCTCGCCGCTGCTGTCCATCAGCGAACCTCAGGCGGACACCCCACCTGCAGAGGACAGACGTCCCGACAGCTGAGCTCTGTCCCTTCAAGCCCAATATGGACGCCCTTTCTGGACCAATAAGAATATTGTTGGTGATGTCAAGCAGACCAATAGAATCTCTCCGGAGGAAAGCCCGCCCCCACAAGAAGTGAAGAAAATGTGATCCGTAAAACTCAATTTGACAAAATCTAATAACTCTCAAACCTTATTTTTGATTTAGAGGCTTTTTAGTTTTATTTCTAGAACTACATGTGCTCAGATTTCAATTTAGAAAACGTATTTTTTAACAATAATGGAACTGAATTCCCTCCATATTCTGGGATGGGAGATCCAGCTGTGCTCTACCTTCCTCAGGTGTCCTACGGCTGAAGCTCAGCCTCTCGCCGCTGCCTCTCCTCCTCCAGCTGCCGGGTCAGAACTTGTTGCTCCTCCAGCAGCCGCAGGTTCTCTCTCTTGCGCTGCAGCCGCTCCAGGTCCCGGACTACGCCCTCACGGAGGCGCTGTGGAGGAACCAGGAACCATTAAGACTCGGAGAACATTCAGATCCACTCACAGCTGAAAGTAGAATCTGTCAAACTGCTATTCTGGATCTCTGACCCTCTGGTTCTGGTTTCAATATCAGAACTCTGATCTGCTTCTGATCAGACTTCACAGGATTTGTTTTAACTCAGGGATGTTCCTCAGAGATCTATAATTGATCCAAAGTCGTTCTAAATTCACTGGCAGCGGGATATGCAACATGCAATAAAATATATCCCCAAGTTTACAAGTAAAAATACGCTATAATAAAATTCAACATATCTTTTTGTCTTTTGTAGTTCAACAAGACTCAGAAATAGCTGCAGCTCAAAAATTAAAATATAAGAAACCTGCAAGAATTAAAGCAGAAATATTAAAAACCAGAATATAAATGATTTTTGAAATATAAGGTTCAATATATAGACTTTGTCCATCAATGACATATGGGACAAATTTTTCTGCTTGTGAAGGAGGATAATAACTGATGCAGCTTAAAGGGAAGCCATGCATGGATGGATGGATGGAAGTGAAGTTGTGTCCATACCAGGGATGCATGATATATTGATGCTGGCATCAGTTATTGGCTGTTATTCATCATTTTTTATACATTGTTTTTGAGTCCTTTATAAATGATGTACTAGAGGCAGGCGTTTGTCTATAACTATAAATATCAGTTTATTGTGGTGCTCTTGTGTTCTCAACAATAGGAAAGCATTCAATAAATACATGTTTGAGCTCATTTTTGGAAAATATAAGCCTTATTGAAAGCGTTCAGGGTGAGTAGCCACTATGCTTGGAGCGTCCTCACCAAGTTTTATCACAAAGTTACACTCTTGTCTAAATTCCATGTGTTCTGCTGATCAGGAAGCATTTTGATGTTTGAGTGATAAAAGTTCTGACTGTCTCAACTGGATGTTGATGGATATCCTGAACCACAACATAAATCAGGCTAAAGTGGCTCTTAAATGGCATACACGACTTTAAGAAAAGAACCAGGATCTTTTTTTTTTTTTTTCCCATGCACAGGTCTAATCCTGGCTTGTAGAAATGCACGGTACCATCCAACTACTACAGCAGCTGGACTGTAGAGCTGGAGAATTCAGACCATTCTGGTTCTGGTCCATAATGGTACCAAGTGTGACCCAGCTTAACAAGTTCTGAATTAGCCTCCACGGGCTGAATTTTTCCAACTTGAAATTTCCCAGTAGTAAAAACATTGACTGAGCTATCCCAGATCCCCACCCCACCACTACCGTGCTTTATATGGAGTGTTTGTTTTCTAAACATGGTTCTGTCCAATACAGTCATCCACATCCAGGCTAGTTTCATCTATCCAGACGGTTCTGACCCAGAAGAGGCTCTAGAACCCTGCAGCCATATTGTTTTTAACAGATCTTGGATTATGCTCCTCGGGGTCCAGTGACCTGAACCTTTTCACACGTGTTTCTCCTTCAGCTCACCTGAGTCAAATGACCCGGTTCTTAGCAGGTTTCTATAGAACCTGTAGCAGACTGAGGAGGAAATGCGACTTTTTGTTTCAGGTGTGGAAGCAGAGACACATCTGAAAGCTTCAGGACATAGACTGGTCCTGGGTTTGACCTCTCCGGACACAAACCTCCCTCTGTCTGCCTGTCCGTACCGTCCGGTTGTGAGCCGCCTACCTCTCGGTCCCAGGCCTGTTTGAGGTGGACCCAAGCCACCGTGCTCAGAGTCAAAACCACAGAAACCGTCAGAACCACTTTGGAGGCTGTAGACATCCCGTTAGGTTACACGGCTGCGGTTTGCATGAAGCTAACTGTGATGCTACCTCTTCTTCTTCTGTCTTCTTCTACTGTTTTTATTGGCGCATGGCAACCAACTTTAGGGTGCATTTACCGCCACCTACCAGACTGGAGTAAGGTCATCAATGATGTCAGAGGGAAATTATTATCTAAATATTATCTATCAATCAATATCCATACAAACTCACATATAAATTAGTATTTGTGTATATGTACATTCATACACACACTTATATTCTTACTTTAAATGTGATTAAATAATCCAGTTTTTTTTAAATCAAATAAACTGATTTCAAGCATAATTTGATTTACTTCCTAAAAGGTTTATCATTGAAAATATTAATATCTGATTTTAAGGCCTGTTTAGCTAATATATCCTTCCTCTTGTGTTAGCTTTCTGCTGCCATCTGTAGTGTTAGCGGGTCATTTTGGACCCGAGTATTAAATCAGCCATAAAATACCCTAAAAACAATCTTTTATCATCCAATGTTTTTCTCAACTCTTGTTTAGCTGATTGGGCTCCCTTATCTATGAAAAGATTGGTTTTAATATTTTTTGTGGCCCCCTGGGCCTTTGTTTTAGCAGCATACCCCTCGTTTTCAATGTCTAATGAACCTTAAGAGAAGAAGGCAACAAAATAATCAGTTGTTTTGTTACCTGAGTGCAACTGAGAGATATTAAAACACATTTCATAAATGTTCAACAAAAAAAAGATTTAAATTTTAATATTATCAAATATAGTAACATCTATGGTGTTTCGGGTCATTTTGGACCCGTATATATTTACTTCAAGAGAAGGGTAAAAACAAGTCTTTTTTCAATAGAACTTGAATACAATATTTATATTTGTGTATATTTACACTTTTAGTGTGTTCTTTGCAGATATATTTGTTGCAGGTGAAGCACACTGTGTAGGTTTTTCTGTCCATATTGCTAGGGCAGACCTGACACCTCTTTCTTTTTGAGCGAGGTGGTCTCACTGGCATTGTGGCTGTGGATGGAGTGCTTGAGGCAGGGCTGGCTGCAGAGGGGGAAGGTGATGCTGATACTCTTCTTGTTGCTGTGGATGGCGTATTTGGTGACCACTGCAGCTGTCTGACCAAGTCTGCAGTAGCTGGGTCTCGGGGCACCCGTTCCCGTTGCTCAATGTGCGGCTTGACAAGGGAATTCCCGAGCTCGTCAAGAAACATTCTCCGCTTAGTGTTTTGGGTTGAATTCCACCCTTGGTGAATATGGGTCCACAACATAAATGCATTGTATGCAGACACATTGAGGATGTTGTAAAACACAACCATTGGCCATCTCCTGGTCATTCGCTGGCAAGTGTAGGTGGCAGTCAGCTTGTCCAGATTGTCCACTCCTCCTGTCCTTCACCAGCTACATTTCAGCGGGCAGCTCAGGTTTATTTTTTTTTATGGTGCCCACCATGGTGAGTTTCCTCCTGAGAAGTTCTTGTCCAAGGTCATAGCATGTAAAAAAATTGTCACAAGTGATGTTGTGACCCTGCAGTCCAGTAGTCAAATCGAGGACTACCCGTTTTCCTTGTTTTTTTTCAAGGATGCCGCTTACAGATTTTCCTGTGTAAATCTGTAGGTTCCACGCATAGCTTGTTTTAGCATCACAGGCTGCCCAGATTTTTATGCCATATTTGCCTGGCTTGCTGGGCATGTATTGCCGGAACGGGCATTTTCCTCGAAAAGGGAGAAAACGTTCATCCACTGTCACCTCTGGCCCTGGGTTGAACATCAGTGGAAGGAGTTGCATCCATCTCTCCCAAACATCCCTGATGGGAGCAAGCTTGTCAGATTTTGCTCTGGTGTATCGATTGTCAAATCTGAGGACTCTTGAGATCATCTGAAAGGTCCAAAGCGACATTGTTGCCCGTTCTCAGAGGCCTGCTCATCTCCATCGCTAAAATCCTGCGTGTCCTCTGCCTCATTTGCAGCAAAGATGTGATCCAAAGCTTTATTTACAGTGAATCTTCTCCTTATTGTTGCATTCTGTGAATTGGTGATGTGTACTCTTCAAGTCACCACCTCTACACTCAAATGGCTTGACAAGCCTGGACATGTCTCCCTTTGTTTGTTCTCGCAAAAAGGCAAAGACAAAAGGCCCTAAATGAAGCTCAAGTGGTTGGAAGAAGAGGCTGTTGGTTGATTGTGTGTTCATGATTACATTTTAGGCATTTTTTGTTGTTTTAAGATCAAAAATTTTAACTGGGTCACAAATGACCCGAACACCACAAAAGTCAGTTTTTTCACCAGAGCACTTTATAATTTAGTAAAAAAATTAAATTTGATTTTACTTTGTTTAAATGGAAGTCCTTGACAAAGTCAAAAAGTTTCAACGCAAAAAACAAATGTATGAAGTACTTTTATGCATGCTAAAACTCAAAACGGGTCCGTAGGGACCCTAACACCATAGGAAGGATTTCTTCTTCTTTCCTAATAGCGGTTAGCTAATAGCTAAATGGTGTTTTACTGCCCCCCACTGGAGAGGATTTGAAATCCTCAGACAATATCAAACCGAAATAAATAAATAAAAAAATCCACATAACTTTTACTTTTCGAGTCTTTCTGAAATAAATTTTTAATTTTAATTAACATAAAAATATTTTAAAGTAACCTATTATTTTTAATCCTGATATCCTTTGTAATACCATAATACATAACGCCCAATCATATTAACTTTTCCAGTCATTTCCTTATTATAAATGTACCATTAAGTCCAATAAGCTCCAGTCGGAATCGAAACATTGTCTCTTCCCTTCTATTTCCTTATGTTCTCATTGTCTCCACAAATTTCCTTTAGATTTTAATCTTTAATTTTATTTCTGTTATTCTATATGTTATTAATTATCCTATAATTTTATTTTTTCATTTGTTTTGCTCTTCTTAGCTTGGCCACATCTAATTTTTTATTACCTGTAAACCCATCGTGCTGGAACCTATATAAAATTAACTACAGTCATATTGACTCCATATTTGTTTAAATAGCTTTTTTCCCCTCATATAAATAAATTGAGAAACTGAGCTCTAAATCTGACATAAGGCATTAGTTTAGCCTCAAAACACAAATGAAAATGATCAAAACATGGAGTAAAAAAAGCAAAGCTGGTGTGTGCGGGGGTCTGCCCATCCTGTAGAGTCGATCAATGCAATCAATCAGTTCCTGTCAGTAGGACTTCTGCTCCTCTCCTCATCAGCAAACTGCTCCAGGTCTCTCAGGTCTGAAGGCTGCCAATTCCAGTCTGTTTCAGCTCCTTCCAAAGATGCTCAATAGGATTTAGGTCAGGGCTCCTAAAGGCCACTTTAGAACAGTCTAATGTTTTCCTCTCAGATGTTCTTGGCTGTTTCTAGCTGTGGTTTTTAGGTCATTATGCTGTTGAAGACTCAGGACATGCAAATAGAACAAACTGCAGCACATCTCTCTCTAGAATCCCTGATAGTCTGGAGATTTAATTGGACCCTGCAGAGATTCAGACGCACTGTGCCAGATGAAGCAAAGCCGCCCTGAGCATAACAGAGCCTCCTCCATGTTTAACAGTAGGAAACATTTTATTTTCTTGATGTGTTTCAGTTTCCTGCCTGTAAACATAAAGCTGGTGTTAAAAGGTCAGTTTTTGACTAATCTTTCCATAGGACATTATCCCAGAAGCTTTGTGGATTCTTTTCCTATCAATGTTGTTCCTTGAGCTTGAAGTTCACCTTTAATCCATTATCCGTCTCTTTGATTTGTTGTCAGTTTTTCTCCTGCAGCCACAGCCAGGGATGTTGGCTACAGTCCATGGATCTTTAGTTCTTAAAATGTGCAGCTGTTGGCACAGGATCATTAAGCTGCTTGGAGATGCTCTAATGCAGGCATCCCTAACCTCAGTCCTCGCTGTCCTGCAGGTTTTAGAGGTTTTCCTGCTCCAGCACAGCTGATTTTAATTGAAAGCTCATTAACAGGCTTTTAGTCTACTGCAATCATTATAATCAGCTGTGCTAGAGCAGGGAAACCTCTAAAACCTGCAGGACAGCGGCCCTCGAGGACCGAGGTTGGGGATGCCTGCTCTAAACTTTAATAGTCAGTAATTTTTTTTAAAATAAATGTATTTATCCTTTTTGATAGAAGTACAGAACAAATGCAAAAAAAAGGACAAGAATTCCGCTGTAGGTACCAGATCTGATGGGGGCCCCGCCCCTTCTTATGACGTCAACATATGGCAAGTCCACTCGGACAAACTGTATTCACCCTGTATTGGAGTTTCAACATATAATTTCCTATATTTGCTTTTATTTTACATTTCATTGGCGATCTAAAGTAGCCAAAAGTAGAAAACAATCATTGTCAGTTTTGAAGGAAAGTACTGCCTTCTAAGACAGACTGAGCTCTGCCATTTAACAAGGTGACACAAAAGTCTCTGTCTGTTTTTACTTTTTATTAAGACCCGAGGGCAGGGAAGGAAAAATGGAACATCCTAAAAATGACGTTAGTAGATATTTAAGACAAAGAAAACAACCGTTTTTACGGTTGTTGATACAAATTCAAAAGTAGTGTATACCATGCTCTTGCAGTTACTTTGTTCACCATAAAGATTTCTTTTCAGTTTTGTTATCGATCAGGTAAAACTTCATCGGTCAGTAGACACGCTAACGGATGCTGCGTGATGTTATCGTTGCAATGGGCAACCGCTATGTTTGACATCATGTAGCATAACGTCACTGGCATGAGCAGGACCAGAACAGATCTGACCACCCGAGCAGATCTGGTACCTACATTGCCCCTTTCTCTTCTCAGAGTTAAAACACAGCGCCCTCTGCTGGTGGAGAAGGTTCTCTGCATGGCTCATCATGTGGTAAATCGGCAGCAGACACTTCATGATGCTAGACCTGTTTGGAGCTTCAACATGTTCCCCTTCCAAAGCTGGGATCAACTTCCAGCATCACTGGGTCGCTGTGAAAAACAGCTGGTAACTCAGCACCTTCAGATCCTATTTACTCCCCTGAAGAATCTCTTATGGCCGAATGCTTTGGAGGCCAGAGATAAAATATTGGAAACTAAAATAATGTTAAAAGGGAGT